TTTAACTACCTATTTATCTTTTTATTTTATTAGGATTTTTTATTTCTCGTAAAATAAGTACATGCCCAAGGTGCTCTGGCCGGAACAACTACCCATCAAAAGATCCAAGATTTTATTAGGATTTACGAATAAATTTTATTATGTATAAAAATGATGTTTTAAAACTTTTAAAGTTTAAAATTTTTTTTCTAAAATGATAAAAATAAATCTTTTATGAAATTTAGTAGGCCACATATCAAAAATTTCAAAAATTTTGAAGACAACACATAAAAAATTTGAAACTTTTTAGAAATTTTCAAATATTTTTGCTATTTTAAAATATTTTCATATAAAAAACTATTTATCCAAAATTTTCAGAATTAAAAAATTAAAAAAAGAGCTACATTTACCAATCTGTTAAAATCCTAGGGGATAGATCAGTGATGGCAGCAGTGTCGGCACTACTCCTAGTCTTCGACCATGGCCCAACCAAAATCGCTGCCATCATTAATGACCCATCATCGCCACTGTCTGTGGGCACCGTTGTCATCTTGTCTTTTCATTTATTTTATTATTTTTAGAACAAAACAACTTCATCAATATTGCCTAATGGTCGTGGTGGTTGTGATGACCTCTTGCTCCCAACACTGAGGCCACTATTATTAGGTCTCACCACCGATCAGCGGCCCTATCGCCAGTTGTGAGATTTAATCTTTTTTGTTTATCTTTTTGAAAAACAAAACTACCCACCATCGATGCCCAGTGCCGGCAATGATGGATAGTGAGCCTCCAACGCCTAGCACCAGAGTTGCCACCTCTGGTTCTTGCTTTGTTTGACGGCCATGGTAGTGGCGATAAGATGTTAAAAATTGTCTACGAGTTCATAATCATTGAATTTTTACTGTAAATCTGATATCCTAGATGTTAAAAATTGGATCTTCAAACAAAATCTTTATATAATTCCCAATTTTTCTATTATAGGAACCGAATCACATCAAGAAACTATAGATTTTATGTACAACATGTTAAAAAATCATATAGTATGCATAGATCTAAACCCTAAAACCAGATTAACAAAATGCGAACAACCCTAATCTTGCTTTGACAGCAATGTATATCATGCATAAACATAAAGAATACATAAATTTCTTGTTTATAGATTCCTTGTCCAGGATCTATGAAAGGATTGCTACGCGCTTGTTCTTCATCTTCAAACAACGGTTGGAGCACGACCACAATGTTGGAACGACGAGAGGCCTCCGCTTATCACCCTACAACTAATGTGTAAATGCCATAGTTGATGAAGAGAAAGTAGATAACAGTAGTATGTTTTTTCTATCTACTTAATCTCTACATAAGAGAGAGAGAGAGAGAGAGAGAGAGAGAGAGAGAGAGAGAGAGAGAGAGAGAGAGAGAGAGAAGAGAGAGAGAGAGAGAGAGAGAGAGAGAGAGTGTCTCTACTATATATATATGTATGTATGTATGTATGTAGTAGAGGGAAAAACCCTAACCGTTTAGTATTTAGAACTGGTCCACTAAATTAAAGGACTTATTTAAACCCACTTAGGATCCACCCACTTAAAACTGGACAACCAATTATTAATAATTCATGTCAATTTAAGCTTCTTACCATGGTCTATATTGAAGATCTATCAAACTCCTTGAAAGGAGAAACTATTTGTCCCTATCTAACGAGTGGTTATGCCTCAAGGGTGTGTGAGACTAACGTACCATCCAAAAATTATTCTCTTGATGTATCAACCATCCAATAGACCCAATAGGATCTAACTGAGTTGATAAGCTACATATAAGTATTACTTTTCAGGTTCGACTCTCCTAGAAAGCACTCACATGATTTTAATTTGCTATAATATTTGAAGTCGTGTGGGGGAAGGGAAAGGGGGGGGGGTTGATGCTCCTTAGCCATGATTGGGGGTTTGACACCCGTAATCCGAAGGATCATGAGGAAGTTCCCTTGTCAAACCGAAACTAAACTATCCAATAGATATAAACGCTGGTTTTTCCCCGCATGACCCAAATTCTTTCTGAAGATTGCTTTGTTCACACAAATAGAAACATAATCCAGGAGATATGCAATGTCCAAATCTAATAGAACTCATTCCCAAAATAGGATAAATCCAAAAGGAAAGTAGAAATAACAATAAAAAATTATCCCCGAGGTGACAATTTGTGTTGACGAATTTCAAGTTTTGTCTCCATGTGAATTCATCACCAATAAAAGTCTGAGGAGGCAAAACTGGATTCAAAGTTGAGACTTTAACCTCGGTCAACGTACGTATTGCATTATACAAGAAATTATTAGACTTTTCATTGTTTTCTAGAAACCCTTTCATAAGTGAAGGTATGAATAAGAACTTTGACAATTCTTAACTACCGCTATATATGCCAATGGAAAGTTATCAGTTTCTTTCTTTTTTTTAATGAGAGGAGAAAGATCATAAGCTTCTAACTGTTGAATTAGGACGTCTCCATTTACGCATTTCAAATTAAATTTACGCATTTCAAATTAATGGATAACATTTAGCAATACTAGTTTTATTTTTCAGTTTTATTTTTATTATTTTGGGTAAATTGCTCAAGATAACCCCCATTTATACTTGTGCGCTAAAGATGTGTTTGGGAACCAACAAAAATGGGACTATGTTTGGGAACCAACAAAAATGGGACTAACTTTGAACTTGATCTTGTTTTGATATGAAATGTGTTTGGGAAAAATGGGGCCAACTCTAACCCAATTTTTCCTAGGCCAAAAAAACCCACTTAAACTGGTTCTCTTTTGGTCCAGCACTCATTGGAGAAAAACATAACTAGTTCTTCTCAAAACCAAGTCAAGATTAGTCCTGACCCCTTTCTAAGAAGATTGCCAAACTAACCCTAAATCTTCTCAACTTATTTATTAGCACGTAGCTTTTCTTAATTCACAAGTAAGAACCATGTTACTTAAAATTATTTCAGGATAGTAAAGGCTATAATAAATGAATTGAGAAATATTAAAATGCAACTAAAGGTATAAGACAAAGGCTTCCCCTCCGCAAGATAGGGAGGCGATCTTTATATTATCTTGTGAATTGATTAACGTAACATATCTTTATAATATTTAAGTTATAATAATTACGATTAAATTAGAAGAGTGATCCAATGAAATATCGTGTATAAATTATATATCACTAAGCAAAATAAGCTAAAACGTTACATAAGGAGCAATGTCCACACATTCTGATGTGATTAATATAATGAATCCAAAACACTAATTTATTTCTTATAAACTCCTTTAAATAATCAAATCCCATATGTCTATTTTTGTATATGTCTATTTTTACATGCTATTATCAATAGTATACCAACTCATACGCTCCAGCCACCTATTCCTTTAATTCAGCATTTTCTGTTTCTCCTCCCACTTTGGTTGCTTAGCTAGACCGTTACCCACATCGGACAAATATTTTTCTCCCCTTACATCTTCCATCTCTTGAAATTAATCCTCTACATCCTTGAAATTACTGTTAGGTCCATCAAATATTATTAGTTATTACAAATTAGCCCCTCTATTAGTTGTTCCATCTAAGTTGCTAAAATCGAGTTAGATTAGTTGTCAATTGCACATAGTGAATTATAGTTTTATCCTCGGTTGGTCACTTTCCTTCCCAAATGGCAAAATGGTCAGATTGGTATATTTTTTCAAGGCTTGGTGACATGTTAGTATATTTTTTTTTAGTTTTGTCAAATTGGTATATTTTTTCAACTCTGGCGTCATATAGGCCTAAAATTTGGCCGGAGTTACTGTTCCGACCAAATTTAGTTATTGTTCCGACCAAAATTTAGTTACTGTTCCGACCAAAAATCCCATCAGCCCTGGCCGGAACAGTAACTCCGGGCAAATTTAAGGCCTATATAGCGCCGGAGTTAAAAAAATATACCAATCTGACAAAACTAAAAGAAAATATACCAACATGTCACCAACCCTCGAAAAAATATACCAATCTGGCCATTTTGCCCTTCTTCAAATCTTAAAAAAAATTATGAAACAAGTTAAAAAAAACATTTTTCTGAACAGGACCAGAAATCCAGATACATTTAAGATGATGAGTTTAGTTTAGGTTTAATTGGAGCAACTTGGAGCATGTTTGGCAAATTATCAAAGCGACTTATAAACCACATCAAAATGTTTGATAAGTATTTTTATTTTGGCTTATCCACCCAAAAATAAGATAGTGTACCATACCTTATATTTTGATGGATTATAAGCTCTAAAGTTTGACCAACTATGAGGCAATTACACCCCTTGTAATTTCACAAAAGCCAACGTCTCATTAATAATTCACCACCAATCTCATACCTTTTTTGGTCATTTCGATAATAATGATAAATTATAATCCACTCATTTGCCAAACACTCTGCTATTAAAAATAGATTGTAATCCACTAACTTACAGAACACTATAGATTACGATCTACTCATTTATCAAACACTCTACTATTAAAAAAATTGTAATTTACTAATTTACCGAACACTATACATAATAACCCACTCTTAATAGAGGGATATTAATGTAAGCTGATTATAATCTAAACTTTCCAAACAAGCTTTTAAAAGAGGGATACAAGTTAAATTAAATGGGATGTTCCTCCCAAATTGCCCCGTTTGGTTCTATTTTTTTGATGGGTAAAAAGGGGGAAAGCTGTCAAAAATGTCAGCTTTTTGGCAGCTTTCCCCCAAAATCACCTTTTATAGAGGCGATTTTACGGGAAAACTGTCAAAAAGCTGACATTTTTGACAGCTTTCCCCTCTTTTACCCATCCAAAAAACTGAACCAAACAGCCCCTCAGGTAGCGGCTGATTTGACATTACTATGCGGCACTAATTTCAAAATATCAAACACTTTAGGGACCAATATCCAAAACAAAAAATAAAAGAAAAAAGACAAAAAAAAAAAAAGTCGTCCTCTACGTTTGTATTGTTAGCGACACCTGCTCCCAAGTCCGAGCTGACGGCTGAAATACAAGTCCTCCCTTTCCAGAACTCAAACGAATCCACTGCGTCCTGACCCGAAAGGGGTCTCGTTCAAAAAAATAAAATAAACAAAAATAAATCTCTCGATGTCTTTAACTTTCTCATACTTTTCTATAAAAAGAAGAGGCAGTTCCTAGCACCGCCATCCGTTCTGATCCCTTCCACTTTGGATTGCGGAGGTTAGGATTTTTCAATTTTGATTAACTTTTTTTTTTTCTAGTAACCTTATTTGCATGCCGCTATTTCATTGAGTTTGCTTCATTTGGATTATATGCAACTGAAATAGTGAAGAGTTAATTGGATGATCACATTTATATCATCATCTGTGTTCACGTATACTATTTGCCTTTTCTATGACTTTCATCATAGATTTTTTGGGCCCAATTTGGAAAGTTTTGGGTTAATTGTTATTAAAAGATGCTTGAATGCCCAAAATATGGGTCATAAGAAATACCTAAATAAAGCTTTGGTATGGATTGCGATCGACCTAACCTTGTACCGAAATTCCTCTGATACCAAAAAAAAAAAAAATGTATGCAAATACTAATAGGCTGTTGATGTTGTCTTACGTGCCCATTTATATTCAGAAAGTAGTAGGAAATTAGTGCAGGTGAGGCTGTAATGGCTCGGAGGAGAAGAAGTGTGCTCTGCTTATTACGTGATGGGGAATTGGAAATTGTTTTCTACTATGCTTCGATTTGTAGAAATTTACGTATGTGAGATGTTTAGTTAAGAATCATGGATGCGACATTTTTCAATTATATGACGATTTTCACTGGAATATTTTGGAATGGCCCTTATCTATCTCTTGTTGAATGTTGCGATACGGTCATCATTGCGGCTAGTCTATCCCTTAATCATATTCCCTCCAACTTTGGAGCTTTTTTGCCCTTTGCTCACTCTTGCATCGCTTCTCTGTTTCATTTTTACCATTGTTTTAAAAAAGCGGTTTAGGCGCCCACCTAGATTTAAGGGATACTCTGGCCGCCTTAGGATTGCTTAGGGGAGTATGGACTGCTTAAAGCATAGTAACCTGAAAAAAAAAAGTTTGGTTTAAAATGAATAATATCAAAACTCGCTAGCCAATCCATCTTGATAAAACACTAAGGTTAGGATTTTGAATCTGTGGAAAAAGATATTAGTCATTTCTCGATTTGCCTCCCCTCAGCCTTTCCCTTTTCTCATAGATCTGTAATCTCATGTCTCTAATTCCGACAGAAGTATCACCTTATAAAGCATTTCGGAACTTTGAAGTTATTTTGACTGTATATGACTATATTCTACATCACTACCTCCTTGACAGTTTTTCCTTTTCTTTTTTCCCATCTATCCCTCAATGGACTCGCTGTATTCCGGAAACTATAGATGGGATTTGAAACAAGGAATGTGTTAATCACTTGATGAAGGATTTAGGAAGCTTGTTTGTTGTTGTGGTCTGCTACCATCAGTAAGAATTAATTGACTTTGTGTTAGCACAGAATACTGTCTATTGACAAATGTTCTTTCACAAAGAGAAGTTAATGAAGTAAAAATCGATATATTCCCCCAAATTAAAGCCCCTTTATTTATGTGATGAATATTATAAATCTGTCATAGGAAATCTTTCGGAGGGTTCCTCCTTGTTTGTATGAACTCATACATCATGATTAGTGCCAGTGGTCTTTCTAGCTTCCAACTGAACTTCTTGGTTTCACTGTAAAGCCCTCTCTTGTTGTCTTTTTGGTTTTACCAGCTTGCTCTCTCTCTTATTGTGATTGACTCTAAAAGAAAATTGAATTTTGACCAATTCAAGTTGTCCCAGGACACAATTGGTTGTAGTAGACAAATAATTCAAGTTTTACTGTGATGAGAAGTTGTCAAGGGTGTAATAAACAGCTGCATGACAGAATCAGGCTAAGGTAAATTGAATTTGTATTTAGACCTAATTTTTCTGCATAAATGCGGGAAAAAGATATTACAGATGTTTTGTTGAACTTAGAAGATTTACATGTCCTAAGAACTTACCTAAATATTGGCTCAAGACTTGAATCAAAGTAGACTACCTAAATATGATAAGAAGCAGGGATTGGACAATACATGCAGTGTTTTGTATCTTCTATTTTTTTTAGTTCCAAAAAAAATTAGGAAGGCTAACAAAGCTGGCTTCTAAAAACCTCTCTAGCCCGGTAGAGTTGTTCCTAAAATTTTAAAACCCTCCTTGAGAAACTCATAGTATTGAATTTATTGCAAGTACTTAAATATCATGTTTTACATAATTAAAATTTGTTAAGGTCTGTTATTGTTCTTGATTATTCCATTTTCTTAATGTTTGCAGACCAGAATGGACAACTAGGTCAAGATGTTAGAGAATGGAGTTTGCAATGGGGAAAAGCGTTCTTTGTTGAATCCTTCAGCTATGTTGGAAGATACTCATCCGGTATAGTAACTATTTTTTTTTTAATTTATAGAGTTACATGGAGATGCTTACCTAATTAATAAATATTTATATGATGATGTAAGTTTGTCTAAGATACCAAATACAAATGAAACGAAGATGGCTGGCTAGATGTTAATAGTTATTTAATAATAGCAATATTTAAGTACTATAAACTATATTTCTTATGGTAAGTGCTGTAATTAATTATTTTTGTCTCAATTAGAAATTTCAAAGAATAAATAACTTAAAAGTGCCGTGTCATAAAGATCCTAAAAACATTTCAATTTTCAGTTAACTAAGTTCTAAAAATTTATTCCATGGAGAAAATTGTCCCAACTCTAGATGAAAGCTCCAACTGACTTCCAGGTTCTTTCACTACACCAATACTCTTGATTCCAATGATGTCGTACATTGTCTCAAATTATTACTTACAAAGAGGGAGTTCCCCTTAAAAGGAAGGCACTTTCTAAATAGCATTACTGCTCAATTATATTCAGAATCTCGAAACCCTGATGTCATGTGAATGATACCTTATTGATAGCTTTTTACGTAAATAAAAAGTACAAGTAATGAACATCATATATAAGAAAAGAACAATTTGTTTAAATACCAGAAGGTGCATGTAAGTGGCTATATAAAAAAAAAGCATAATATAGTTTGGTGCGATGTGTGTGAAAGATGGATCATAAACAAATAGGCATTTCCTGGTTATCACTCTTCATATTCACCAATACAATGTTAATAATGAACCTTGTGTCTTGAAACTTCTTTTATTAATTATTTTGTCATTTTCCCTGCCAAACTAACTTGGAACATGTAACTGTAACTGTAGGTCGATATGGATCTGGGGCTACCTGCCATATTGACTTGGCAAAGAAAGCTAGACGACGAGGAGCGTAGTTTCTCTGAGTTTTCCATGACTATGAAAGAGATGTTATACATGGTACTATTACAACTCCAGATGGAATTTCTGTTAGATTTATTTTTATGGTATGCATATCAGAAACTGGATCTTTTTGATCTAAATTGTTGTTCTAATCATCTAATTGGATCCCTATTTTTATTGAAGGGTCCCTTTATTTTCCAATTGTGCCTTAACTATCTTAGAGAATCTGCAAGAGGACGGGTGAGCTTTTCATCTTTATGGAGTCAGTTTTTTTGCTTGGGTGACATTTGAGAAAATCGATAGTATTTTCAGTTAAATATACTAATGGAAGTTCTTTTTTTTTTCCAGGCTGCAACATTTAACCCCTTCAAGAAACTCTTAGCTGTGTCTTCTCATGGCGTTCCCTTAGGTGGCATTGGGTATGCCTCCACACTATAGTAATACATAATGAAAATTTCTGTGTATGTCTAAAATTCTAGTTTACATTTATTCCTCACTTCCATGTTTACACATAAGAACTAATTGTTTTCAAATCAGACATGTAGGTCATTTAAATTGAGTCAAAACACTATTTTCTTATATTCTACATGAGTTTAGTTGCTGCAATTACTTGGAAGATTCCCTATTTATTTAATAGATTAATGCAATAACAATTCACTCTAAACATATTCTAACTGTTACGAAAACTACTGGTAGATGCACTTTTTCCCAGCATAAATGATTTGAGTTGTCAAATTGAAATGCTCAGATTCTAAGCATAAAGTTTATATGAATATTTATATATGAGAACTATGGGTACCAATTCCTTTGATAGCAAAAGTCTATTTTCACCGTTCAATAAAAATAATTCAAGATAGGACAAATTTTTAAAAACACCTAATTTAAGTATTTAATTATTAAAATCTACCTACTTTCTATTGATTTAGCGATTTCGACCTAGTTTGACCAAGTCATCCAAAACTAGGTCGTTTTTAAAATTTTCAATTTTAGTAACTACCCGGGATTGCCAATCTCTGGTAGTTGCTAAAATTAAAAATTTTCAAAAACAACCTAGTTTTGGCTGACTTGGTCAAATTGGGTCAAAATTGATAAATAAATAAAAGTGGGTCGATTTTAACAATTAAATACTAAAATTAGGTGTTTTTGAGAATTTATCCTTAAAGATATTCATCTTGATCTCATTTATATAAAGCAAACATACATCAAAAATCATATATTTTGCCTACTCTTATTTAATAGATTTAGAGGTGAAAATATTCTATTAAGTAAATCCATTAATTTTATAATCATCTGATGAAAGATCACATAGTTTTGTAACTCAGGAAATATTTAAGATCTTACAAATCAAGATGAACAATATTAATTATCTATGGTGCAATGCAGTCTTTTTCCATCAGAGGTGGAACTTCTTTCTCTTGTGGTGACTGATACCAATTAAACTAATATATATTTGTGTGTGAGAAAGTCTTCACTTAGGTGCTGTATAATTACTAGAAATTATATATCTTACCGTTTTCTCACAGTTACGAATGGTTATTTTCAGTGCAGGAAGTATAGGAAGAAGCTACAAAGGTTATTTTCAACATTGGCAATTGTTCCCTGAAATATGTGACGAGAGCCCTGTCTTAGCAAATCAGTTTTCAGTAAGTTTAATTCAATTTAATGGACCAAGGAACTGTATAACTATACCCATGTAATAACCCTTTTATTTAACGTACGTAGATTTTATATCTGCTAAATCAATTTATACATATGAAAGTGTCATGGTAGCTAAGTGTTAATACAAGCAGTTGGCAAGAGGTCCTAAAATTTTTAATATAGTTCATTTTATATTCTTATATACTGAATGCCATATTTTTGTAGGTTTTTGTTTCACGCCCTGATGGCAAGAAGTATTCTACTGTCTTGTCACCCAGAAGCCCAGATATTCCTAAGTAAGAAGCTGTATTTTGTTATTTCTGATGTAGTTATATATGTAAAACAAAGAGTAAATCTTAAGCAAGTAATTGCACTGCAGTGGTTTATACTCTTGAAGTTCATAAACTATTGAACCTCATTAGGATTTTCATGTTGCAGAGGAAGTACCCATCCTGGAATTGAATCATGGGACTGGAATCTGAATGGAAAAAGTTCATCATATCATGCTTTGTATCCAAGATCATGGACAGTGTATGATGGTAATCGTCAAAAACTGACATATGCAAATATTACTCAGAAACTTTTAGCATATTGATTTTTGTTCCTCGACTTTGTTTATGCATTAGGTGAACCTGACCCAGAAATCAAAATTACATGCCGCCAGATTTCACCTTTTATTCCCCACAATTATCAGCAGAGCAGCCTCCCAGTTGCAGTGTTTACATTCACAGTATGCAATTCCCTAAGAAGTCACTTTGCTATAATGCAGCATATAAATTGCATTATTTTCTAAGCTTCTTAATGTGTTTTTTTCAGTTAGCTAATTCTGGAAAGACTGCTGCAGATGTAACTCTGCTTTTTACATGGGCTGTAAGTAGAGACTGTCTTTTTTTTTCATTTTTTTGTTCATCTTCAGACAGATTCATCAGTTGCAAGAAATGGACTGAAGTGCTATGCCTAATTCAATATTTTACAAGTTCCTTCCTACTACAATATTCAGATAGGTAGGTCTGTCTTTGATATATTTAAATATCTGTGCAGAATTCCGCAGGTGGGAACTCTGGATTTACTGGGAATCATGCCAATTCTAAAATGAGGTTGGATTTCCCAACTGGTTATGTAATATTAATGGTTAAATATGTGGGTGTTGGCAATATACCGTGTTATCCTACCACATATTGATGTCTGACTTATACTCTCATATCCTCATGCCTTTTTGGTAACCCTAGAGAACGAGATGGTGTCCGTGGCGTACTTCTACATCACAGGTAAAAGTTCTGAACTCAAATACCTGTGAAAGTATCCATACATCTTATTCCATGAAAACTAGTTATGTGATTGAGGTGTATACCTGTATTACAGGATACACATGAATTAGTCTATGTGATTCTGATTCTCTTTTTTCCCCTCCCGAATAAACTGTTCAAATGCAGAACCACAAATGGTCAATCTCCTGTTACTTTTGCAATAGCAGCTCAAGAGACGGAGGATGTTCATGTTTCAGAATGTCCTTACTTCTCGATATCTGGAAACTCCGAGCCATTCACAGCAAGGGACATGTGGGATGAAATAAAGAAGGTAAGACAATATATAAGTTCTCCCTTCTTGTAATGGGCAATATTTGATCCCATGAGCAGATTATCAGTGTAGTCATATGTTTGTTTAATATTATATCCTTAGTCCCAGTTATATTTCTTACCTGACTTACTGATATTTTCTTCTTTTCATAACAATTCCTATGTTAAATACAAAATTTTTCATTTATTGATAAGTTATGGCATGAATGAATATTTTTTCACGGCCACTGATCTGCATTTTGCAGGAGTTCAGGTGTAACACTAGAGCTGATTACCTCTTTACTTGATGCTGAGATTAACTCACATACTATGAAATAAGCGTGCCTGTGGTGTGGTGAACAACACCACATGATCTATAACAATCTGTTTATGACCAATACCGCAGGACTTATCTCATAGACGTCTTTCATCATTTTCTGTTCTGTCTTTATTCTAAGTTCATATGGTAGTGATTGGCATACCCGTTAGTAAGTTTAAAATACTTTCAAGGACAATTAACCTTGGTGTTGAGATTTTGTTTTTCCTGATTTTTTTTCACAATTGCTAATTGTAAGTTTGATTTGTTTTAAATAAATAGAATGGATCCTTCGATCACCTTGATATAAGAGAAAATTCATTGCCTTCGAAGGAAGGATCATCTGTTGGAGCAGCAGTTGCAGCTTCAGTGACAATACCATCTCAGTCTGTCCGTACAGTCACATTCTCTCTTGCATGGGCTTGCCCTAGGGTAAAGTTTCCAAGCAGAAAGACTTACCACAGGTGGGTGGGTTGGTATTATTATAAGGGTCAATTGCAGAAGACCCCCCAAACTATCACCCAATTGCTGATAGACCCCATGTATTTCCATTGTGTAAAACCCCTGAGTGAATTTCTTTTGACTCTTTTATCCTTAGAGAAAGAGCAAATAGTGTTTTGACAAATAGAGCTCCTGAGAGTAAAAAAGTCAAAAGATTGTCACTCAGGGCTTCTATATGCAACAATAGAAACTAAAGGGGTCTATCCCCAAATGGGTGATACTACAGAGGGTCTATGCACAGTTGGCCCTACTATAAACACTAGGTACAAACATTGGTAATAATTTTTTTCTGATAATAATTTAATAACAGGAGGTATACCAAATTCTATGGCATTGGTGGCGAAGCGGCGGCAAATCTTGTGCATGACGCTATTTCTGGTAGTTTTCTTCTCAATTCAGTGTACATGAATATCACAGTTTCCCTTTGAGAAATGGATCTGTTTACATGAGCATTTGTACATTCTGTACTTCTATAGCTTTTCTTTATGGACATATTTCCTACTTAGGCAACATATTTCATGAGCGTTTGATAATAAAGAAAAAAATTTTACAATTGGCTCATCCTGCCATGTAATTAGGTGATGAGATGCTCAGACTCTAGTGAATTTTTCAGCTCCAAAAATACACAAGGTTGTTAGCATTCTCAAATTACTTTTGAAGCTCTCATAGAGGTTTCCAATCTTCTCCATAGCTGATATAATGCAGGTGATAAGGTACCATTAAAGCAGATTCAATTTAATCTATGACATGCAATTAAATTTGAAACTACGTTGAGCCATCAGTTTCATCGTAAGCAAATAGTGACAACCAATAAATGTTGTATAATAAGAGATAGGTAACAGAGGAAAATGTCCATGAAATGGTATACTTTTATGAAAAATTGTAGAGCTTTCTTGTTCATCACAAAAGCTGTAAACAAGCAACAACCTACAAACCCACTAATCTTTACCTGATTTTCAATTATATGTTTCCTTACAATTCTCGATTTCTTGCTCTACATTTATGTTTCTTGAACACCTATTAAATTAAATCATCTTATGGTTTAATTTTGTTTATTTTGTATCCACGTTCAATCTTATCATCCATATATTGATATTCTTCTGCACGTGAATGGTGTTCTCTATTATTATTATAATCATAATTCTATCTTCATCATCACTATTATCACCATCATCATTGTTACTATTATGTTAAGCTATTACTGTAAACTGAAATCTTGAAATACTAGGATGTCTACTTTCTCAGCTCATTTAATAATTATGACTTGAAGTAGTACATTGAGGTGGAGTTTTAGTGATGTTTTAAGCTAAAACAAATTTTATGAAAGTAATTATGAATTTTATTGTATCTAAATCTATGCTTCATGTGTCGCTTCTTGTCAAACCTAGAGCATAGCCATTGGGAATCCCAAATTGAAGACTGGCAACGGCCGATTTTGCAGGATAAGAAACTTCCACCGTGGTATGTTCCAGATTCATCCTGTTCTCAAAAAAATGTTCCAGATTCATCCATGCAACTTCTTTCTTTTTTGGTTTAATTGTGGATATACTCCCTGGGTCTCTGTACTATCGCTATATTGCGGATGGACCCCCTGTAGTTCAATTGTTGCAGATATACCACTGAATAAAATTTTTTGACTCTTTTTACCCTCAAAAGTCTATTTGTCTTGAAAAAAATAGGTTTATCTTTCTCTGTGGGTAAAAGAGTAAAAAAAAAAAAAATTCTCAGTGGGTCTACCTGCAACAATAGAACTACAGGGGTCTACCTGCAATTGGGCAATAGTACAGAGGGTCGATCTGCAATTAAACCCTTTTCTCTGAATAAAATTTTGAACATCCTGAAGTTTTTTACAGGTACCCTGTGACTCTTTTCAATCAGCTTTACTATCTTAATGCTGGGGGAACAATTTGGACAGGTTTCTGATATCCCATTCACCTCTTTCTTATGAACACAAATTTGGTGTTTTAATTTTGACATAGTAGTTTTTCCTTCTCCAGATGGGCTGCCTCCAATTAACAGCTTAGCACCATTAAGGGAAAAGAGGTTCTCCATCGATATGTTTACTGCTGTTACTCAAGTAGAGAATACCTCCTCAAATATCTTAAACAAAATGTCATCCACAATTGCTAATATGTTGTCTCCTATTGCATCAAATTCTGTTTTTGGTACGTCATTGCTCCATGAGGGAGAAGAAAATATTGGTCAGTTGCTCTATGTTGAAGGTCTTGAATATCGAATGTGGAACACTTGCGATGTCCATTTCTACTCGTCTTTTGCTCTAATCATGCTATTTCCCAAACTTGAACTTAGTATCCAAAGAGACTTTGCTGCAGCAGTAATGATGAATGATCCCGAGAAAATGCAGATTGTGTTTGGCCGCGAGTGGGTACCAAGGAAAGTTCTTGGTGCAGTTCCTCATGATGTTGGCCAAAATGACCCGTGGTTTGAAGTAAACTCATATAATCTTCATGATTCAAATAGGTGGAAAGATTTGAACCCGAAGTTTGTACTCCAAGTTTATAGAGACGCGGTTGCCACAGGTGACAAGAATTTTGCAAGAGCAGTTTGGCCTTCTGTGTATGTAGCAATGGCCTATATGGATCAGTTTGACAAGGACAGAGATGGAATGATAGAAAATGAAGGTTTCCCTGATCAAACTTATGATGTATGGTCAGTTAAAGGTGTGAGTGCGTACACTGGTGGGATTTGGGTCGCTGCTCTGCAGGCTGCTTCTGCATTGGCACGTATAGTTGGTGATAGAGATTCTGAAGAATATTTTTGGAATAGGTATCAGAAAGCAAAAAATGTTTATGAGAAATTGTGGAATGGTTCTTACTTCAATTATGATAACAGTGGAGGCAGTACAAGCTCATATATACAGGCTGACCAGATGGCTGGACAATGGTAATTTGTTGAGAAAACTAAATATTCCACTTTCCTCCTGACAAAAGAGTTCCTGAATCATATTTTTCATTTTCTCTCTGTGTTGGTTTATCTGAATTCACCAATTGTTTTAGATTGATGGGCATTCATTTTAAATTACTTATGTCTGCTGACAACCTCACACTCTCACCCCATAAAATGAATTTACAAAATATATATACATCTAACACTTTATCATGGCCTACCACCACTAATCTTCCGTTGGCATATGTAGGGTTAACCGGTGATATTTCTGAAAATCTTTCAGGTATGCTAAAGCATGTGGTCTCCTTCCAATTGTTGATGAGGAGAAAGCACGTAGTGCACTTGAAAAGGTTTATTCCTACAATGTCCTAAAATACAAAGATGGGAAGCGTGGAGCAGTAAACGGGATGAAACCAGATGGTACTCTGGATTTATCAATAATGCAAGCATCTGAAGTGTGGTCTGGCTCGACATTTGCTGTTGCAGCTGCTATGATTCAAGAGGGCATGGTAGAGACAGGATTTAAAACCGCACAAGGGGTTTATGAAGCTGCTTGGTCTCCAGAAGGAATAGGGTAAGCTTTTCCGACAAACTTTATTTGTTATTGTTTAATGTCATATTTGTTGCATTCCTGGCTTTACGAGGGACGCTGTAGAAACAACATAGAGAAAAAGTTGAAAAAGAAGTGGATCAGCGGCCTCACTCCAACTAAAATCTTACACTTTCAAACACAGGACTTCAGTTCACACCCAAGATTGAATCACACGACATATAAACATCATAACTTTTCAGAACATCGCCGTCATACAAAAGAATTGGCCTTTTGTAGAATTGCAGAACTTCACAATTAGGAAATCAAATCCCTGATTAGAATGAAATCTAATAAAATGAAAACTTCTTTACTAATTAGATTCTCTAATATCCCTAAATCAATAAAAACTCAAAACGAATATCCAGTCAATATCCTTTTTTCTTTATCTCTTAGTTTTGGTTTCCAAGAGAAAATAGTCGTACAGAACTTTGACTCTCTGATCATTTTACTTTTTGAGAAGCTGGTCTAACCTTGTCTCAACAGATAGTCTTACATAGCTGTCCTGTCACCTCTACACAATATTCAAATATATTCTCCAAGTATTATTTGTTTTCAGTCAGTAACAAGCTATTAGAACTGTTCGTGCCAATGTGAAAGAAGCTAACTAAAACTACAAGATTATACAGACTGCCGTGCTTGGTTGGGAAAAGAAAGATGAACAAATAACAGTTCATGTCATGCCGCTGGCCCGCAAGCCGTGGACGCGGTGTAAGCCGTGGGATCCCCTGAGTACAACACATTGTTTGGCTCAAACCACCGCCAAAAATGGCTAGTCCTTGATGCACTTGAATCCCATGACTTATCGTATAAACCCGTCCACACTTCCCTTAATATCTGATATGGTACTGAACTTTGGGGTATCACAATACAACTGATAGCCAGTATCACTTGATAAAAGTTTGATTTTCTCTTAATTTCTCTTCTTATCAACAGTAACCATACAAAAGAGGATGTAAAAGAAATGATTTTATCCATGTCCACCATCCTAACTTTTTATAGAAACAAATAAGAAACACTCATAAAGCTGCCTTTATTTGATAGTTGGTTCTTGCATGCTGTTATGATTTCACTTACCTGACTAATTGCTTTTAGCACATACATTGCACGTTCAATATCTAATTTTATACAGAGCATTGCATACCACACAAGGAACATTTGGATATTGCTGGAAACTCTGTGATGTGTAATCTTACAATCTTGGGGGTGTGACTGAAGTTTTAAATCATAAAACAAATATGGAAACATTTTAATGTGATTCATTAAAATTAGGTATTTAATGAAGTGCAATTAAATCTTGGGATAATTTGGAAACAGATAAATCGCAAACTTGTGATGGATGTACTATAAAGTTGACATAAAGACACTGGGAAAACCTGCTTGTGGATAAGTAATAGAAGTCTGTTGTATGGCAGGCATATTGGTGGAAAATGAACAGGGAAGTAGAATTTAGACGAAAAGATATTTGTGTCTTGCACTGGTGGAGAGCAGGGCCGGATGTATATACAGGGGTTCAGTCGCATCCTTAACAGTTTGAAATTTAGCTCTTATTAAAGTTTCGTACAATGCAAAATTCCCGCCTCCCCCCTGCCCCCCCCCCCCCACCCACCAACCCCCCCCCCTCCAAAAAACGTTTTTCTTGATCACCACTTGGCAGCCGAACGGGGTAACACAAAAATCAGATCTGTACCTTTCCCAGTATTTGCTTATCTGATAAACAACGTCATTGTTTAGGCCAGTAAACAAGAAACAAAGAGTCCAAATACACACATTAATTTCTCCTTTATACGTGGTTGAGTTTGCCATTGTATATTGAATTGTGATTAATGACCGATAATCATTTCAAGTAAAGGTTCGTTTGTGTTTCGTATGATAGGTACTCTTTTCAGACACCTGAAGCATGGAATCCAAGGGATGAGTACAGGTCTCTGAACTATATGCGTCCTCTGTCTATATGGGCTATGCAATGGGCATTATCACCGCCGAAGCTACACAAGGAAGAACCAAGGACCGCCGATATAGAGGAGAAGGATACGCCATTAGAAAACATTGAGTTCTCTAAAATAGCAGAGCTATTGACATTGCCAGGAGAAAAGACTGCTAGAAGTGCCCTTGGAGTCCTCTATGAAATTATCTGTCAGAAGCTAAGAGGGTGACATGGAGCTAGCTCAGTGAAATACAAAATTCATTTGTTTACATTGTTAACCTCATGAGTTCTCGCTGAGAAATTAAGACATGTACACATATATACATAATTTACAAGGACAGATCTGAAGGCACGAATTATACCAAACGGCAATTTATTCCTCTATAATAATAGGAGGATATAAGATTTACTATTCATGCTACAGTAAATGCTGCAGCGTAGAGGAGATCCAAGATTCACTATTCATGCTAAAAAAATCATTGTATCATTATTATTGTGCTAATCATTATTGCTGTAGCACATGCGAGAATTATAGTGTTTAAAATATTACTGTAGAATTATTATTGTAGCTCAGATGAGATACTATAGCATTTAAAAAATATTACTTATAGTACTTAAAAAAATAATATTTAAATATAGAATTACTGTGGTGAAAATAAAAAATAGAGGTCGTGTTTTGCACGGGGTGCACCCTAGTGGTTAATAATAGGAGTAGATCCATACAGTTGCTCTTCGTCTTCTCTCTTTTTTATCCCGGTATGTGTACAAATCGTCACCTAGTTCTTATTTGCACGGGCTGACGTGAGTACTTGTAAATTGTTACTTGTGGGAAAATGTATTTATGTTAAAGAGAAAGGCGATGGATTTGAAAAAGAAAAAAAAAATTGATTGTGTTGTAAGGTTAATACTATGTGGATTAACATCACGTGTTGGATGCACGTTTTGTAGCTTGTTATCGAAGAGGTCTTCTTGATCCCATGGGTGTATCATCATCACGCTATTAAGATAGCATATCTAACTCGTATTTTTTCTGAGATGGACAGATTTTATTATCTAATTACCATTGAACTTCGGTTCCCAAAATGCATTTCAATTTTCTCAAATCTTTCGTTTTAGCAATGCTAAAGTTTTCAAATTACTGATTTCCTTCCCATCGTCGTCAGTGATAATAATATCGTCGATATGAACCATCAGAAGAACCGTGTGTCCCTGGTCGTGTTGATAAAACAACGAACCAAATGATTATTGTGGAACCTCTTCGTACCAAAACCCCTAGATTGATCAGTGTAAACAATGCAGCGCGCTAACCAATGTAAAGTGCTTATCTCGCCAATTATTGAGTCTAAACAACATGAGATGCTTATTCCCTATAATTAATTAAGCATATGAGTACTTTATTTCCCTGTACGACTTAATATAGCCGGCCATATATATATATATACTAGGTGGAATGCACGTGCACTGTATGTGGTCAGATAATTTAGTTATTTAGTTTAAGCTTATTTATTTACTACAGCATGGTTGCAAAAAACTTTATAATTATCATAATATATTAAATTATTAACTTTTTTTAGATATTTCCATGTGTGGGTTTAACATTTTATCTTCCAGAGAAATAATTACACTTAAAGCCTTAAAATATTAATAATTTAAAATTAATTAGTAGTTTGAATGTATAATTTCCAAATATTAATAACGTAAGGGACCAATACTAAAAAAACTATAATTATTAATGAAAAGAATAAATTTTTGAATTCATCAAATAAAAATAGTAGGTTTTATCTAGTCATTAAGGATTTTGTTCAGTTATAAAAAAACATTTCCATTTGTTGTTTACTTCCGTTGTTGTTTATCCGGCGACCGAGAATTGTAGATATTTAAGAAATTTTTTCTAGAATTTTCTAATAGAATGTGCAAATTCAATAAAAAAAAGAAAAAGAAAATATAAATTATTTAATCAATTCTAAAATATGACGTTGTACTCTTTTTGCATCTTCCGAATTACTAATTGATTTGTCAAAATAATTACTCTCTAGTTTTAGAAAATTATAAAATATAGCCTGAGAATAATCTATACATATTATGCATTCATATTGATTGTATTTTGACAAAATAATTCATATCTATCCAATATCAAACAACATCCAAAGGTATAGCTTAAAAAGTTAGAAGAATACAATATCTACAACAATATTCATATCCAAGTTATGAGCTTCATAAACTTATAATAATGTGAGTAATATAAAATGACAACTTGATTTATTTTGTCAAATAATTTATTACAAATCATGAAAAAACAAGGGGAATCAGAAGGATAAAATATCCATCCCAAATAAATATTAAATTTCTCTTAGAGATTCTTATAGCAAAAGATTTTCAGAGTTGGTGTGTAAGATAAATTTAAGGACAAATAACCCAAACCAGTTCATTGAGTGATAGACTTGCTATAAACTCCACTCATATAAAATTGATGTCACATGTGTCTTAAGTTGTGCTTTTGTTTAAGGTTTAATTTTAGAAAACTCACACTCAACTATTGGAGGCATGTCAACTCCCTCCGCCCCCCCCCCTCTGACTATTTAAAACCGAGTAAATCTCTGTCAAGTTTTGAGTATTTTGTAGATAATCTATCTCAGCTTAAAAAATTTTGATTTAATCTATGTGAACTTTTCTCACTTAAACTTAACCTCTAAAAACTAGTATCATTATATCTTATCTATTACGTGACAAATACTTGACTTGGAAAGACCAAAACATCCATCAACTATAAAAGAATTACCTTGGTTTTTGCCAGATGAAAGAAAAAGAGGTGATGTAGAGGGAAAAGAATTGTAAATTGGTTATGGTCATTTTATTATCTGTTTAGGGTCTCTTTTTTATTAGAATTTCTTTCTTCAAGATGGTATTTTGTCAAAATCACATAATAAGGTAACTATATTAAGGGGGTTTGTTGATAGAAGTGTAAAAGATTAGGGAAGTTATTATGAGTGATACGGGTGTATCTTCTCTTCGGAACTTAGCGATCCTCATGGGAGCTTGAGGATAGATGATTCTCATGCTAGCATGAGAATATAGGTGTCAAACAGTATAAGGGAACACAGGAGAAAGCGTGGAACGAGACGACGAACAGAGGAATCGAAGTATCCAGTTTTTAGCCTGTGAGTCAACTCATTACAGTCATGAGTCGACTCATCAGGTTGAGTCGACTCATGACTGTCATGAGTCGACTCATCGCTGGTTGTTAAGTTTTGTCCAGTTTCTGTCGAGTCGACTCATCTCAGTCATGAGTCGACTCGTCGAGGGTTTCCTGGTTCGTTTGGGTTTCTGTTCACACGAATTCCTGTTGGTTTTGGGTCTGGTTATTTACCAAATTACCATCCACGTTTGTACACCTATATAAGAGATTGTTTTAGGGTTTCTAAACAATCAGAGAGTTAAATCAAGGGAGATTAACTTGTAATTGAGATTTGGAGAGCTTGTTCTTCAATTCTAGAGTGAGATTGTGAGAGATTGTAAATTACATACTCATAATCTAGAGAATGTATTTTCCTTCGCCCAAAATCTGAGTTATTCTTGTATTCTTATTATTTTCTCCTCAAACCCACCTTTGATAATTCCACGATCAAAGGTGCTCGCACGGCAACTCGTATCAAGTTGGTATCAGAGCGATCAGATCCTACGAAGGGGGCATCCTGTGCATGGTCCTGACTCGATCGCAATACAAGAAGCTTGGCGAGATCCTTACTTCATTGGAAGGAGCCCAAGAGTTAAGGAAGGAGAATATGTCTGAAATAGATAACTCAACAAGACTTGATGTCATGGAGAAGCAGATCGAGACGATCGGTTCGACGCTCAGTCAGCTCGTGGGTCTCATTAACAAAGGGGACAAAAGAAAGGAATCTTCTTCGAAGGGTATGAAGAAACTTATCGAGTCCGATGATGAGAGCGAGAAGTCTGATTCGGACGGGGGAACCGAGGTTGTTAGGGCTGCTAGACATCAAGGGGGTAAAAATAATTACCAAAATTTAAAGATAGATTTCAAAGTGGAGATTCCTGTCTATGATGGGAGTGTCAATGTAGAGAAGCTCGATGATTGGATTGAGCGTATGGAGATGTACTTCACCCTCTACGGATATTCATCCAAGGAGAAGATCGTGTTCGCGACATTGAAGCTTTCAGGACACGCGTTGACGTGGTGGAAATCCTATTGCAAACAAGAGAAGAAGGCAGCATCGTGAAATAAATTCAAGGAGCTACTCAGGAAACAGTTCTATCCGGTGGGGTTCCTTGAGGAGCGTTGGTACAAGTGGTATGGCTTGCGCCAAAGGTTCAATCAGACCGTTCAAGAGTACACGACGGAGTTCCAGCAGCAGGCGATGGTTCTAAACATCGCAACGGACGAGGACTCCATCTTCATGAAGTACATGGCGGGACTGAATGATTACATCCGTAAGGAGATGAAGTTATTCACGGTCGAGACGATTGTAGAAGCGAGCGTGAAGGCAATAGCCATTGAGGCCAAACAGAAGAAGGGCAACGAAACGAAGAGTGATTCTAAACAGTCGGGAGGCAAGTCTAGTAGCTCTCAACATAAGGAAGAGAAGAAGAAGGGTGATTCGGGGAAGGCAGGATTGACATGCAATTACTGCAAACAGACAGGGCACGTGGTTGATCATTGCTGGAATAAGTACCCTCATCTGAAGCCGAAAGGGTTGAAGAAGAAGGAGGAGAAAAAGGCGTACGTGATAGCACAGGGTCCGAAAGAGGTTCCCGGGATGAGAGAGCCCAATAACAGTCTCAACCTTATGGCGGGGAAACAGGCCACTAAAGAAGACAACGACCCGAGGGAACAGCTCTTTGTTCTGAAGTTACAGGTCAAGACTAGCTTGGTGGATGCCATTGTAGACACAGGGAGTCAGAAGAACCTGATATCTGAAGTGTTGGTACAAAAGCTGGGATTGAAGACGGTGAGGCATCCGAAGCCCTATCCATTAGGGTGGATTCAGAAGGAAGCGGGATTGAGTGTGGTGAACCAGTGTACGTTCCGACTTGCACTCCATGAGTCGTATATTGATGAGGTCACATGCGACGTGGTTCCGTTGGATGTTTGCCAGGTTATTTTGGGCAATCCTTACTTGTGGGATAGACACGGGGTATATGATCGAATGACCCAAAAGTATACGTTCACCAAAGATGGCGCGCAATTTATTTTTCGTTCGCCATCTCTTCCGCAGGAGACAAGTTTGGTGACGGTGACTCAGGCCAAGAGGTTGGTGAATGCGGACAGGAGGTTCGTGTTATTGTTCATTCGGCCTTATGAAGAACAGCTGAGTAGGAGATGCTTGTCCATATTAAGCAAGCTTCAGGAGGGAGGTCTTGCCAGTTTAAAGGCCAAGTATGTGGACTTGTTTTCGAAAATCACGGGACTACCACCACGGCGAGGTGTAGAGCATGAGATTATGTTGATTGACGAGAGTTCCTTGCCAAACATAGGCCTATACCGCACTTCAATACAGGAGTCCGAAGAGA